TGATCCGAGTAAACTATAAAATGGAAGCTTGGGCATTCTAAGAGCCCAACTTCGACTCTCTTAACTAGAACTCGGTCGATGTAGCTTGCGCTAACCACCGTATCCGAGCTGCCGCTCCTAGTCCAAGTCAATGCTACCTCCCGGGGGTGCTCATTTCGGTACTTATCAACGAGATCAAAGATAAAAGAAACGCAGGTTCGATTTCGCCGAAATGGTGCATTTTCATTAATAAGACTTTCAATGACTGAGGACAGTAGATGACATTTTTAGTGTTTGAGATGCCTGCTAAAACACATGTACCCACTAAAAATAATATTTATGACAAGAAGAAATAAAGAAAGTTGTAGAACCGAAACTGGTATTTGGTATAATTTTACGTACTTGTGCCTGCATTGCGCAGGCTGTCTATAAATTATAGGTTGACTTTTTTTCGACCTAAATGTTAGGCAATGGGCATATGTTTCTGGGCTATTTTTTAACATTGAGTCTGAAAATAAAGTCCATTTTGCCCCATCACATCACGTTTTCTCAGTACAGACAATTTCTATTTTGCTTAAAATATGCCAAAATGCCTAATTCACAGGGATATGCTACGACTTAAATATGCGCGTGACATAGTTGAAACATTTCGTTTCATGTTAAAATGATTTCTCATTCAAGAAAAATTATCCAAATAACTTTCAAAACGCATTCTAAGCTATTTCAGTTCAGATAAGCTGACCTGAAAATGCTTGATTTTATCTCACTGAAAAATATTCTTGCGTCCTCAATGTTCTTAGCTTGTTAAAACGTTGTGATTTGTGTTTCTTCTCTACTTTTTATAGAAGCTCTTTAGAAGTCATTCACGAACAGCAATTTTAGTTTTTATTAGTAGTTTTCACTTTCAGCTTGAAACCGTCATAAAATTGTATCATATTACTTGAATTTACGGAGGTCTGGTATTGTCATGTGGACTCTGTATAACACGCATAGGAACATCGATAAATGAGGGATGTTAGATGAATGTATTTGAGACTAGCAAGATTAGAATTTTCTTTATCAGCGCTTGAAATAGCCGTGAAATACCAGATAGTCATAGCTGCGAAATACCAGATAGACATAGACAACTGGGCACTTTTCCTACCCATCCCCAACATCACCAGTACTTGTCTGACCAAAAGTTAATACGGGACAGTTTCATTTGCATGAACAAAAATGAATGTATTTTTCATTCCTTCGTATCTTCTTGATTCAAAAATTGATGACACACGTTTGCATTGATTTAATTTTGTGTGAGCTTTTTCTGAAAACTTTTTCTGGGCTGAAAATTCTGAAAATGCATTCTTTAAATTATTGAGATACTTTTTCTTTTATAAGTTATTCTAACCTGAAAACATTTAAGGTTGGTTCAACATGGCCGAGTATATCACTGTTAAATGGGTATTTTGCCTATTTTTAAAAAAAATAGAAATTATCTATACTGAGAAAACGTGATGTAATGGGAAAACATGGACTTGATTTTCAGATTCAGCGTGAAAAAATAGCCCAGAAACATGCGCCCATTGCCCAACAACATTTGGGTCGGAAAAATGTCGACTGGTGTTATCTGTACAACTTCCCAATTTTATTGCATTCATTAGAATTAACTTGATCTTTTACAAGAATTTCTTGTACTGCAATCAACTGTTATTTTCCAGCAAAATGATGGACCACCTCATTAGGGGCTGGCTGTTCGTAAGGAAATGATGGACCACCTCATTAGGGTTCTGGCACCACCTCATTCGTATGTTCGTAGGAAATGATGGACCACCTCATTAGGGGCTGGATGTTCGTAAGGAAATGATGGACCACCTCGTTAGGGGCTGGCTGTTCGTAAGGAAATGATGGACCACCTCATTAGGGGCTGGCTGTTCGTAAGGAAATGATGGACCACCTCATTAGGGGCTGGCTGTTCGTAAGGAAATGATGGACCACCTCATTAGGGGATGGCTGTTCGTAAGGAAATGATGGACCACCTCATTAGGGGATGGCTGTTCGTAAGTTTCTCAGAAACGTTTCCAAACCATTGGATTGAAAGACACGGTTCAGTTCCTGGCCATCCAGGCTGCCGGATGGAAACCACCCCAATAAAACTCGTTTTATGGGGCTATTTTAAAGATTTAATATCATACAAAAGTTTAAAACCTTAATGATCTCAAGAGAAAAATACATGAAGCTATATTCATCATTAATGTCGAGATACACATGGTTAGAAATTGAGCATTGTCAAGATATGTTGTCGGCAATCAATGGAGCCCATGTAGAAGTGTTCTAATATGTTTTTTATCGTTTCACTCCAAGCAAGACGATAATGCCACTGCAACACAGGCGATTACAGAGAATGAAAATGAAAGAGAATAGAAAGACTGGGGAGGATTGAGGAAAGGATAAAATGAACAGGATTCAAGAAGACAAAAGATGGCGACTGACGTTGCGTTTAAATTTTTGAAGATTGTAGTTATCAGGGAAGCAAGAAATCGGAAGGGAGTTCGACAGGTGAGAAGTGCGAGAAAAAAATTAAGATTAGCATGTTAGAAAGACAACTTGTTCAAGAATATTCGCACTTGTCTTTCTAATAAAGGGAAAGACAGGCGTGTTGTGGGTGTGCTAGATTTGTTTATGTAAAAAAAAAGAAAACGCGTGTCACCTGGTATATTTTTCCACAACAGTTATTGCTGACGTAAATGTAAGCCCAAGTAATAAATAAATAGCGTAACAACCAAGCCATATACAAACAAACGACGATGTATTTATTAACAAAATATATAGAAAATATATAGAAAATATATAGAAAATATATAAAAAAATACATAGAAAATTAAAGAAAACCTTTAAAGAATGAAAGCGCTAGAAAACATGTTAGAATAGAAATAGTTGATGCATCTCATCTCACTAGTTCAACAGCAAAACGTTGAGACCTAATTGCCAATCCAGTAGCAGGCTTAAATTCATGTAGTCGAGGCACCAGGGAAAAAAGAGCTCATCCGAGCAGTTGCCATGAAAATATTGGTAGAACAGACAGAGAGAAACTACGTCATATCACTGAGCACATGACGAAAGACAAGACGCCTGGTCAGGATCGATTGTATTGCAGACCCTTCTTTGGATTTTTTCAAGAATCTCGAGACGCACAGTTGGAGCAAGAGACCAGATATAGCAACAGTATTCAATACACGGACGAATGGTAGATTCATAAACGTGATAGATTCTGACGAGAAAATGGGTCTGGTACGACACAATGAACCAATGTTTAAATATTACATTATTTATTTACCTGTTTTTTTCCTAATAAACGCTGTAGAGTTATCTTCTTTTTTTTTCATTTTGTACAACATTTCAAAATTTACTGATATTTTATGGACACCCTGTATAATTCTAGACAAGTGTGTACCTTATATTCTAAATAGAAGCGCGTACATTATATTCTGAATATATTGACTCGAATTATCTGTCAAAATGATTACTGTGGTCTCAATACCAAAAAATCTATTTGAACAACGAAGCCGACAATATGACTGAAAGAAAACGTGTTGTCTTTTTTTTTTCATCTCAGGAGATTCTAAACTTTCTTAAATTACCTTTTGTGGGTGTTTAATCAAAAGTACGTTCTCCACGAAATCAAAATAAAAAAAAAAAAAATAAAAAAACGGCTTCGCGTTATCAAATTGGAAGTCAGTCTGGTGTTCTTGGATAAATCGAATATTCCCCGAAAATATTTTACTTTGTTTCCAGAATTAACCCGTATTTTCTGTTGTCGCATTTATCGACTTCTCGTAGGATAAATGCCAGCGTTATAGCAAAGGTTTAAGACTATGGCTGCAACTTCAAAAGCTTTGGGTTCGATTAAAGTCTATCTACATATGAACAAAACCATAATCAATAGTTTATTTTATATCTTTATTACTAGTTTTTAATCTTTTGGCGTTGTTTTTTCTTTATCGATTTCTCAGTCGTTAAATTTAACTGGGGTATTATTGATTGGTTAATTAGTTTTTGCAGCTTATCAACCATTTGTTGGTTATTTAAAACCGAAACATACGAGGTTAAGTCAACAATTATTGTCACACTGCCTTCTGTTCATGCGTGCTTATAGTTGGTACTATTGTGATCGTGTAATCGAAGTTTGAGCTTGACCTCGCCAGTTTTCTTGCTGCTATTACAGTGTAAACATGCCCGCTCAACTAGCAGTGTGCACCAAGAAGAAACAAAGAGCAATGATCCGATTTCTCTGGTCGGAAGATGTGTCAGGGGCTGAAATTCACCAGAGGCTTTTAAAACAATACGGTGATAGTGCAATACCACGTAGAAGCGTGTATGAGTCGATAGAGAAGTTTAAAAGTAGCCGGACAAGCGTGGCGCACGAAAAAGGAGCAGGATGCACGAAGTGGGGGGGGGGCAGAACGCACGAAGTGGGGAGAAGGACGCACGAAGTGGGGAGAAGGACGCACGAAGGGGATGCAGAACGCCTGTCTTCTTTCACCACTTATTCAGCAAGCTCGAGGGATGGTAATGGCGAACCAGCGAGTTATCATTGGGGAGGTAGCATGTTCTCTGTAGATTTGGATCACTGCTTACAGCCATATCACGTCGAAACACCGGTTCCCGTACGATCACCGGAGTTAAGCAAAGTCGAGCCTGGTCAGTACCTAGATGAGTGACCGCTTGAGAATACAATGTGCTGTAAGCTTGGATGTGCGGGTTTTACGGCTTATAGCCATATCACGTTGAAACACCGGTTCACGTACAATCACCGAAGTTAAGCAACGTCGAGACTGGTCAGTACCTAGATGAGTGACTGCTTGAGAATACAATGTGCTGTAAGCTTGGATGTGCCTTTCGTACGGCTTATAGTCATGTCACGATGAAACACCGGTTCCCGTACGATCACCGAAGTTAAGCAACGTCGATCCTGGTCAGTACCTAGATGAGTGACCGCTTGAGAATACAATGTGCTGTAATCTTGGATGTGCGGGTTTTACGGCTTATGGCCATATCACGTTGTAACACCGGTTCCCGTACGATCACCGGAGTTAAGTCGAGTTTGGTCAGTACCTATAAAGGTGACCGCTTGGGAATTTCAAATGCTGTAAGCTTCGATGTGTGGGTTGTGTAATGGATAATGACTCGGAAGTGTTAATCGGAGATCCGAATTGCAATTCGCGTTGGTTTCGTTACATTGAGAAAGGCATGAATCTATCTTTTCTAACCCCACCACTGCATCTATGCGTTATTTAGTAAGACTTGTATCATTAAATCATTTTTCTCAAAAAAAAAATTCTTACAATCTAAAAATTTTTTCTGTCTTTAAATAACTGTCAAAAGTTTAAAAGATTGATAAGCCTTAGGAAAGGAATCAATCAATCGTCGACTGGTGAATGATGTCCATTTTATAAGAAAAAAAGACGAAGACAGAATCGTCCTGAGGACTGCCAAATTTCGTCGAGATAAACGCTCTTTTTTTTTTTTTTCATCATTTCATGCCAAACAAGGCGGTAATACCACTAATACGCAGAGGATTACAAGGAGTGAAAGTGAAAGAGAAGACTGAGAATAGGAAGAATATTGAGGAAAGATGAACGGTGATGGCGACTGACGTTGCATTAAAAAATTTTGAAGATAGTAGTTAGCAGAGAAGCAAAGGATATAATTGTAACACTAGAACAAGCAATGAATAAAAATGTTTTTTGTTTCGATTTTTAATCATTTCACCCCAAGCAAGTCGGGTATGCCACTATTACGAAGGGGGTGGGTTACAGGGAGTGAAATTGCGAGAAAAGATTGAGCATAGAATAAAAGAAGAAGAGGAAAGAATAAAAGAAAAGATGAACGGGATTCAAGGAGACAGAAGATGGCGATCGATGTTGCACTTAAATTTTTGAAGATTTAGTTATCAGGGAGGCAAGTAAACGGAAGGGAGTTCCACAGGCGGGAAGTGCGAGATAATAAACTGTTGGAGTAGAAGTGGTGGTTGCATTTACCTATTTCAATAGTAAACGGGTGGGACCTAGATACCAATCAGGCTTAATTCCGTGTAAACGAAGTACAAGGGGAAAAAAAGGTCGCCAGAGCAGTTGCCATGAAAATATTTGTAGAAATGACTGAGAAATGCCACGTCACGTCAGTGAGAAAGTGACTGATGTCGAAATGCTAAATCAAGGATCATTACATTACAGATCCTTCTTTGGATTTTCATCAAGAACCTCGAGATGAATAGCAGGAGCATCAGACGAGCAGCAGTATTCAATGCACGAGCGAATGGTAGATTTGTAAATATGTACGATAGACTCTGACGAAAAAAACGTCCTAGCCCGACACAGTGACCTAACTTTCCATGCAGTAGATGCAACTATTTGATTCGATGAAGTCGCTCCACTTGAAAACCTAAGGCCAAGAAGCCGCAGCTCTCCAGAAGTCTATCGTCAGCTATGCTGATTACAGACAGAAAAGTTTTTTTCCTGTGGTCGTTAAATGAGAACAGTTTTTTTTCTGTGGTCGTTAAATGTGAGCAGTTTTTTTTTCTGTGGTCGTTAAATGAGAGCAGTTTTTTTCTGTGGTCGTTAAATGAGAGCAGTTTTTTTCTGTGGTCGTTAAATGAGAGCAGTTTTTTCTGTGGTCGTTAAATGAGAGTAATTTTTTTTCTGTGGTCGTTAAATGAGAGCAGTTTTTTTTTTCTGTGGTCGTTAAATGAGAGCAGTTTTTCTGTGGTCGTTAAATGAGATGCAGTATTGTTTTGGGGGCGTTAAAATTTAAAAGTCATTTCCTGTCCCCAGTTATCCACTGATTGAACGTCCTTTTCAAGGTCAGCAACCAGAAATTGCACATGAGGTATGAAGATGCCAATAATAATACTACTGCAGGAGTTTCCATTTTTTTATCTGGTTAGTGCTTATGACGAAAAATGGGATGGACAATGTGACATCAAAATCCGAAGGCGTATTCAAATAGCGAAAGATGCCTTTCAAAAACAAAAGTATTAAACACAAAAATTCCGTTATAATTCTTTTTTTTTTTCTTCTATTTCTTTTTTCTTTTTTTTTCATTTTCTTTTTTCATTTTTCTACTTCGTTTTCTCTTTCCTTTTTTCTACTTCGTCATTTTTTATATTTTTCATTCCTAACTCTTCTTTCTTTTTTCTCATTAATATTTTCACTTTTCCATCTTTTATTTCAATTTTTCGTTTGTTCTTCACTAGCGATTTCTTTTCCCCTCTCTTTTTTATTCATTTTTTTCTCTTTTTTCTTTTTCATTTTTTTCTTTTCTTTTTCATTTTTCTTCCCTCCATTTTCCTTTTCTTCCCTCCATTTTCCTTTTCTTCCCTCCATTTTCCTTTTCTTCTCCCCCCCCTTTTTTTTGTATCTCGTTTTCCTTTTCTGTTCTATTTTTTTTCTTCCATCTCTCTTGCCTATTTTCCTTTTTTTTTATGTGTTTTTCTTTGTGTTTCATTCTTTGTTTTTCTTATTTGTTTCTCCTTCTGCTTTTTGACTTTACGTTTTCTTCTCTTTTTTTTTTCTCCTCTTACTCTTTTCTTCATCTTACGCCCTCTTGTTTGTGCTTATAGAATACGCCGACTGCATCTCTGCAGAAGGGTAAGCCCCCCCCCCCACACACACACACACACACAGCATCACCATCACCACCTCCCGCCCAATTAGGCAACCTGTTTGCCATGGGTGGACGACTCGTAAATGCCCCAGGACGCAAACCTGTTGGCTGAGCAGTCCATGACCCGGATGTATAAGTGGTCATGTGACAAGCAACACAACACTTTGTTTCTTACTTGGGTTAGACGCGGGAGGGGGGGGTCGGAGAGGCCCGATCCGATCGATAGGTTAGTCATTTCAAAATCTAGCACCTAGAAACTGATCACTTGACGATCTAACACCCAGTCCTTCAGAACATGCCAAGTTGCACACACAGTGAAACAGATTTTAACTGAATATAGTCACTTAGCCCCTTATAACTACTGCAAGGAAAACAACACGAGAAAGCTATTTGAAAATACTGAAACCGTTAACATAATGCCGTACCTTAAAGAGATAGGTTTTTACAGTGGTTGCATCCTACCGGTTCGCATGAACCTATTCTTAAAATTATAAAAGCTTACCGAACCGGTTGTTGGATTATCCGAAAATAATCTTGTATATTAATAGCCGATGCTCTAGAAAGAGGTACTTTTGTAAAGTATTTCACCATGAGATCTCTGCTAATGATTTCCGTGATTGCATTGTAAACGTAACGAGAAATTACCATAAACATGTTGTACCCAAAACTATCCAAAGAGCTAAAAATATAATTAATAACATTGCTTGTAAGTTCTGCTGAGTCTGGAGGTTTTTTTGCGATTAAAATAATTTATTCTGACAAAAAAAATCGCCTTAAAGTTAACAATGTGGTAAATCTTCTAGTCATAAATTTGATAGGTCTTCCATTGGATCTTTAGGACAGCAACGATTCAATTCGAATGTAGCTAAGAAACCATAACACAGTTGATGACACTAGAATAAAAAAAAATACCACACTTCTGAACAGAAATATGACATAAACAGAATTTCAATTTGGAAATATCATAATAAATAAATGTTTTCTATTTAATTAGCAAATTGGTTTAATTCTTTTTGATATTATAAAGTGATTTGTTTTCATTCTCAGATTGAACAGAAAATAAGTAGATTAGCTTCCTAAAGATTACCTGCCTTTATAGAACCGGTTTCTGGAAATTTGGGATGCCATTATTGGGCTTATACTAAAACATTTAACACCCACAATAGATCATCTACAAACTATATATCTATAAAACATACCTTTATGCTTGAAAGTATAAATTTATGTAAAATATATCTGTACAATTCAGCATTAAACAAACAGTAGAGATTGATATGCCGTTAAAATAAAAGAAGCAAACTAAACCAAATTTCTTCATCTTTTACTCTTTCTTTTCTTTTTTCTTTGTCATTCTTCCCTTTCCATCTTTTTTATTCATTCTATCCTCGTTTTAATATTTCTTCTTGTTTTCAACGCGTTTCTTTTGTAACGAGTGTTTCACATAAATTTCATAGAGAATAAATCAAAAGACTTTAATTTTGCTGATTAATCAGAAATTACTCGAATCTCCAGACATCGAACATTTTTTAAAAACATATAAAAACTAATTCTGTTTCTTCCTTTCGTTAACCAGAGTATTGGAAAGAAAGCCGTGAGTGTTATACATCGCTTGCGTTTGAATGTAACAATCTTTATCATCAGATAACAATGGCGGAACATGTTATTGGAATTTTTGCAACAGTTGTAAAACATTTAAGTTGGAAAGATTTTCCGATCAGATAAAAAGTAGCAGAATATTTTATTGAGATTTTTTTCAATAATTTTAACACATTCATTTGAATGAGAAAGCCTTTATAATGAGATAAAAATGGCGAAATATTTTATTGTGAAGTGTGCATCAGCTGTTGTACATACATACGTTTCAGGGGTATAGTTTTTATCAGAACAAAAATGACGGAACATTTCATTGAGATTTTGCAACAGTTGTAATAGATTCGTTTCAGTAAGAAAGCCTTTATCATTGGATTCATTGTGGATTGTGCATCATCTGTTATAAATACGTTTGAGTGATAATATTTTTATATTATTATTAGTTTTCTCACTCAAACGTATTTATAACAGATCATTTCATTGAAATCTTTGCAACAATAGTAATACATTCATTTGAATAAAAAAAGCTTTTATCATTAGATAAAACTGGCGGAACATTGTATTGGAATTTTTGCAACAATTGTAATACATTCATTTAAGTTGGAAAGTCTTTACGATAAGATAAAAAGTAGTAGATTCCATTTATCAATTGTAATACATTCGTTTGAATACGAAAAAATGTCGAAACATTTCATTGAGTGTCGTGCATCACTTGTTTCGTGTAAGTTTGCGTGGGAAAGTTTTTATTTTTTTTAAATGACAGAACATTTCATTGGGGTGTTTGCAACAGTTGTAATAGATTCGTTTGAAATAGAGGGCTTTTATCATTAGATAAAAATGGCGAAAGTTTTCATTGAGGACTATGCATCACTTGTTACACATAAGTTTGAATGGGATCG